ATCATTCTCAACCGGATGCTATAATAGTAATATCGTTACTTAAACATTTTATTATAACCCCAATCTTTTAGATTGGTCTACCAGTATAGGAATATCTTATGATAATCTTTTAAAATCTAGTTATTTGAAATGTCAAACGATCAGCAAAAACACCAACTTAATATGCCTTCTAATATTCCCACCTATCTGTGAACTAAAGATCCAAACAGCTTTCAACCTAAACAAGTACACAAATCTCCATTGCGGACTCTACCTTAATGCCTTTACAGATTAAGACATGTGCTTAGTGGCTATTAACCCAGTATCTCTATGGTGCTAAAATTCATGGGTTGTTGCCTCCATTTTCATAATTCACTTCAAGAGAAAGTGCAAGGGTTTTCAGCGAAGATGTACAACATTAGCTCGCATTACTGTTTCTTAACAGACAAGAGTTAAGCTTTTAGATCTGTCTTTCTAAATGCCCCTAAGCTGGGAACTAATTAAAGCTAAGCCCACGGTTTCTTATTCTTTCGTTATTATAAAAAGGTAGTTTCTTGCAAAATTTATTGAGGGTTCGGATTACCATAATGTGTGCTAGCTCTGCTTTTGTCTTCCGGTTCTGTCAACACTTTTACAATTCGAATGTCCCATTTCCGCGACAATTTGATTCGTTGTGCGGATCATTTTTCTCATTTAAAGATCAGAAAACAGAATGATAATGATTACGACTGAAAAATGTATTACTCTAACAGAAAGTTTTAAATTAGAAATATTTTTGAACGGCCATGTAGTGAAAATGTGGTAGATTAATGCAATGGAAAACCAAGATTTCGAAAGGGTATTATTTATTTAAAATAAATTATTGTATTACGTTTAATTATTTAGAAAATTATAGTTCAATGACCCGGCTAAAAACAATTTTACGATGTATTGCAGTAGACTCTGATACCCTACGATCACCGGATACGAAAAGGTTAAATGAAATGTGTCAGCCAAAATTGTAAGGTTTCGCTTTAACCATCCTCATAAGCTCGAATTGCTGGTCGCGCCATTTTAAATCAGTTTACCTTCTTGCGAATTCTTGGTTGCATACGTCCGACTTAAAAAAAAAGTATCATAATGTGTCGCAATAAAGTTAGGTAGTGCAATATAAGCAAAATAATTTGTATTTTTAGCAAATTACGTATTAAAGTCTGCATGTGCAATAAATAAATAAGCTTTATTTCGCAAGTGTTGTTCTTAAACAAGACTTTTAGCTTCTAGAAATGCAAAACCCATAAAGACAATAGTTGGCTAGACATTTATATATTATAAAAGCTCACCGGTTCGTTAAGTTCTTTGAAAATATATGTGGTCTAGTCACTAGAGGTCTGAAAAAAATGTGCAACCTGTTGGCTTCAAGAAAATATTACGCTATCAGCACAAAATGCGAATGAACTAATGAAGCCAAGTAATAAACTGGCTTCAAATTACTTGAGCAGAGCTCTACTTCGACATGTAAGTAGCATAAAAATTATGATTGCAATTATAATTTTAAATTTCCTTACTGCTGCAAGCCAAGTTACAAGTCACAACTCACAATGAGTGCATTGTTCTGCCCTCTCACATGATTCTTTCGGCTTTCCAGAGGCTGTTAAATCATTCTTCGGCCGCTTTAATTGCTCCACAAAGTACAACTGCATACTGCATTCCTATTCCTGGCCAGCAATAGCAAAAGGAGAAAAAATGACTAAAAGTAACAACAATTCGATTTGGGACCAATGCGCACCAAATAACCAAAAGATGCCTTGCTGGCGGACTGAAACTGAACAATCACTTTGCCCAGATCAGTTTCGGTCCGGCCAAGAAAATATATATATATATAAATACATATATAGATGGCAGGGGCGAATGTGTGTGCACAGTTGCGGTCAGAAGAAAAGTACGGAGCGGATGGTAGATTTATAAGGTGGAAATTCAATCCGGTCTCGGCGAGAACGGGGAGTACATCTCCTGGATGCTCACGTTATGTGGGGCTTCCCACCTATGTGTTTACACAGAGAGAATAGTTCGAGTTATATTATGGACAGTTCATGTTTAATTTATACCATCAATAACTAAACATCCTTAACCCAATCAAGAGTTTCTAACCATTATGAATTATGATAACATATAATCCTTATGGATTATTGAAAATATTAAATTCATGTTAGTTGTACCAATCCAATAATTATACTTAACTAGACTTAAACCTTTATTGGAAGCGGTGGGATTTGAACTCTGACTTAAGTAACCATAGACAGATATTTTCTCTAAAAAGAGTTCCTAACCCAATGATCCCATTTAATCAGTGGCAATATTTAAGGACTACGATAATAAATGATTAAACCCTAAGCATTTATAAAAACGATAAGCAAAAATGAAGTTTTTTCAGTGTACATACCCGTGTACTAACTTCCTGACCGCAGCTGTACCCGTCCCGCAGCCAGGCCATTAACATTGCTTAATTGAATTAGATTCCGAATGCAGATTATGAGTACCATCGCATGCTCACTCCGGGACAAAGCGAGTATGGGTAGTTCGTAGAGTATAGAACGAATTACGCCGCCACTTCTCAGGCTCCAACGATCCCGATCCCGGGCCCAAAGCCAAAGCCAAACCGATGCCATGCAAATAAGTGCCACTCAAATAAAAAGCGCATTTTTGAAATCCTCCTTTATGGGCGGCTTGGCATAAAATTCAGATTTGAAAATATATGAAACCCTTTGCTGGTAATACACCCAACTACGTAGTTCAGTGAACCTCAGTCTAATTAGCCAACATTTCGTACAAAAGCGGTTTCTGTAATCTAATTCGATGGCGTCAGCGGCACTTTGCGAACCACGAAACATTTCTGCAGCCAAAAACGAGCAGAAGCAGAGAGACTTGTACATTGGCCACTCGATTCCATTCGATTCGATTCGATTGCACTGCACTGCAGCATTGGGGCATTCGGTATTAAAGGCCAACAATTGTGGCATGTCCTAGTGACAGCCTCGCCACAAAATGCTAGTGCAATACTAGCCACAAGCGACTGCGAGCGTCGTGCCACGAACGTAGGAGCTGCTGCTTCATTAGTTATGCATTAAGCATACGATATGTTGTACAACCCGGCTACAATGGCCAAAAGGGTACATGTCCTTCTTTATGGGGCTTGCGTGGATGGGTGTTGTCATTAGGGTGACGTTCTTGATTACCCAATTTATTCGTACTACCGACAGACTCCCATTAAAAACTGAAGAGGGGGCACTACATGTTAGTAATATCTGAATATATGGGGGGTGTCACACAAATCACTAGGGTTTTGAAGCAACTGTTCAATGTAATTTTAGAGGTTTAAAACTTTTTGAGTGAATTCATTATACTTCTAAATTACAAATATATTGTTGGGTACTTCAGGACACCTAAAATTCCATTTAAATATCAAAACCCGAGTGATTTGTAAGATACTCTCGATAAGGATACAAATTACTTATACCTTTGGGAGTCATAACCATGAACGCATATTCTTTATTTATCGACTGAACGGAATATTTTTTGAGATACTTTTAATACTATAATGTTATAATCAATATAAATATATATAAATACCTATATATAAATACCTAGAAAGAAAATATTTTAAAAAATAACTTTTAAAAACATATGTTTTATGAACTACTTTTGAAGATAAGATAGAATAAAAGATTTTTTGGTGACCAGTTTTAAATGTTGCCTATATTTAAAGACTAGATTTGAGAGATAGGAAACTTGAAGAGTATTGTTTTAGTGGTCTTAGCTGTGCGAATGTCCTTCGATTTGAGTGGAAAGTTTTATATATTTAGATATTGATAAGCATATTCAACAGTTCAAACATTTTAATCAAACCCTTATTATTTTGAAATTACATTAAATAGCCAATTAATGGATAGCCTTTCAAGTGTAACCAGGTTTCGGTGACCCACGCGGGTGCACCTTTCCTGTTTTCCCGCATTGGGCTGCTGCAGTCAATCTTTTTGTGGGATGTCCAGCTCCCTGTTAACTGCGTGCAATTCGTGGGGGTTCGTATGTCGCTTAAAAATTTTAATTGCCTTTGCGTGTTTAGAAAACTTACACGTACGTATGTTCTGCGTAGTTTAGCAGCTGACCAAATGCCACGGCGGCTTTCTAGTCGCTCCAGGGGATATGTCTGCAGAGTTATATTGAAGTCTATTTTCACACTTCCAGCACACGATCTCTAATGCTTATCGATGTGGATTAAAATTGAAAGGAATTTGCTGAGAGATTATTACAGCATTTATTGATATAAACGCACTGCAACGAATTTGGAAGAAAGGCTTTGGAAAAATAACATATATGTAAAATGTCCGCATCGATTCAAGTGAAAGTGCTTGTTTACAACACAGTTCCTTACTTTTTCATCGATTATGATTACCATGTAAAATATTTTATTTGTTTACAAAAGCTCCTTGGTGTAATATTGAGCACTTAAAATTTAAACATATTAATGTGACTAAAATTTAAGAGTTTCCTATCCAGTTTTTATAATCCTGAAATATTTTAGGATTTTATTATTTTGAAAAGGTTGTTTATTCACAAAACTCTACCTAATCGGCCGCTCAAATTGTTGGCGCTGTTTTTTTTCTAGACGGCACCAAAGACGGGTTGCTTTTTTTAAAAGATCCCTGGCCTCAAGATTAGAGTATAATTTTTGAAACTTGCGTAGAAAGTATATATAGGCAATGGCAGAGCCCAAAGGATTCGGGTCTCGTCTAATTTGCAAAGAACTTGCTTTCGGCTTCTGCTGACACTTTTTGGATTTTCGTGGGATCCTTTTCTTCGTAGAATCCTTCTTGCGAGCATACGGAGAGCGCCTTGCACAAGCTTTTCCCCGATTAGAATTTGCATTAGTAGAATGATTTTCAGACGTTTTGGGTGGGCTTTTTATAACGATTACAGGTTGTTCCTAATATATTTATGATATATGATGTATACGTTTTAAATTTAGATATTTGTATATTTACCATATTTTTTTTAAAGCGTTCCTTTTTGTTGAGGGGCATCTTACTCCATTGCCTAGCGCCAAAACGTATAATTTCCTGTGGAGATAATTCACGGAATCGCCGTTTGTATTCTCTTAAAAAGTTCAGGTAGCCATTGGGAGAAATGCGCTCTACTTTCTGGTACTTGTAAATGGTTTTACAACTGGCTTTTCCACGCTTTTTCCCCTTCATAATTGTTTTTTGTATAAGCCTATATTTTTTTTCTCCCAATATACCAGATTCGTCTATACCTTAATACTATTTCTGATTTAGAAGGCGTTCTCCCAGTTAACTTGGGTATTTATGACTGTTACAAGTTTTCATTTGGAATTTGTTTATAATTTTAAACACAAATCGTAAATTAAGAAATCGTGAAGAGTTTATAAAAATTTTTGAGCATTGAGAGCTGCATAACCACATCATTATCTACTTTTTTCAAAAATTATTTTATACGAATAAACCAAAAAAAAGCATAACCTTAGTTATCGTGAGTCTATCATTCATATAAAAACGAGTTTAGAAAATCAAAATTTCTTATAAATAGAGCTTAGAAAATATAATTAAAAAAAATAAAAGTAATTTTAAATATGGCTTCTTATCAAGCAGTTTGTACTGCCGGTTTTATTCACCTTGTACTCGGAATTTCGGTATACCTTTCGCAACCTTCTGATGGCTGTTCACCTGCTCCGAAATTGGGAGGCTGGATTTTCGTGGGAGCTCTTGGGCTCTTGGCCACTGATATTAAAATGTATCCGGATCGTTATATGCACCTTCCGTATTCCATACAGTTTCTGGTGGAGACGATCGGATCTTTGGCTATCCTGGAGTTCTTTTCGATCGTGGTTTGGTGCATGCTGGAACAACTGATTCACCACCTGGTGAGGCTGCTCATTCTATCCTTGGGAATGAACGACGAGACTTACCTGGCCTTCGAGTACTGGCTCCTTTTAATTCCCACCACCGTTCTGGCCGTCACCCTATTCATTATAATGAAAATGGCCGTTTTACCCCTTTTCGATATCAAGTCAGTCTATGAAAAACAGGAAATAAAGGTGCATCTGGACAAGGATGTTTACATTGATCTGGTTAGTCAAAATATGCGAAAATTGGAAAAGTATAATCGTCGGTATAAAAATAAATTAAAAATGTGAATTGGAGTACAAATATAATGTATGCTTGTGAAGACAAAAGTAATATATGTTTGTATAATAACATCAGCTTATAAATAATGTAATATAACAATTATTTCCTTCTTTGAATTTGAAAATCTGTTTTATTTCACTTTTAACGGTTTAACCGTTCGATTTAACCGTTTCGCAATAAATAGCGGGGACACCATCCTCAAATAGCGAGTACACCACCCTTTTTGGTATATTTTAAAACATACTTACGGTATTAAAAGTATATTTCTTAGGGGCGGGCGGTATAATTTATCGATAACTACGCGGTTGCTCTGGGTCCACCTCTAATGAACAGCTGAATAGAATAACAATAATCACAAATTGAACCACCTGAGTTAAAAACAATTATGCGATTTAACGCAGCCGTCTTATAGCGCCCGTGCCACGCCCACACGCGATGCGAACAGGCGACCAAGCCAAGGTGTCGCCACGAATCCTGCAACCGAGAACCGAAGCCGAGCGTCGGGAATCCAGAGTGCGGAGCACCCAGTAGTAAATTCCGGGGAAAACACATTAAAATAGTATGTCTACGGAGGAGCATGTGTGGCGAGCGCATGTTGTGCGACGACTGCGCGAGCGGAACCGCAAGGAGTGCGACAACTTCAAGGAGATCATCGAGCAAAGTAAGAATCTGGGTCGTGAAGCGGGGCCAGCGGAGCACCCCAGTTGACCTCCGAATCCGAATCGTCTGCTCTCCAAACTTCATGGTCACACACTCACACTTTAATTACCCGCATCATCGTCTTGCAGACAACCGACTGATCGACCATGTGGCGCAGCTGAAAGCGGACAACCTTAAGATCTCTGTGGAAAACGAACGGCTACGCAGCGCGGTGTCAACAGGTGGCACCGGCTCCAACGTGGCCATCGCCACCCTCGAGAAGAAGCTGCTCAGCCAGCAGGAGGAGCTCACCGACCTGCACAAACGCAAGGGCGAGAATTCCCAGATGATCGTCGATCTCAACCAGAAGGTCGAGCAGCAAAGGATCATAATTTCCGAAAAGGAGCACAGGTAGGTTGAGAGGATGTTCCGGGTCGAGCGCCAAGAAAGTTCGAACCTGGGGTTGGATTAGATTGCCTGAAATTTGTCGTTAGCTATGGTTATTTTTTGTACCGATTTTATTGGCATTGAGTCATAATCATACAACATACTCAACGTTTTAATTATTCCAAGTTAATGACTAAGATCAGACTTCATCATACAACATACTCAACGTTTTAATAGTACAGTTAAAATAAAACAGTTTCAATGTTTTCCAGTTATTTAAAATAAATTGATAGAGTTTAATTTTGTTAAGTCTGAAAATACTATAAAAAATATCGCCTCAATGTAGTGCAACATTTGGTCTAGGAAAATAAATAGAACATCATGTATGTGAACATATATTTTAGCAAACACTAATGTATCTTTTTCTTTTAGCCTTGCAGAACAGCAGACGAATAACAATCGATTGCGCGCTGAAGTGCAGCTACTTCACTCGAATTTGGAGGAACTCAAAAAACTGAACAACACCATGTTAGATGAACATACAGCGCTTCAATTGGCATTTAGCTCCCTCGAGGACAAATTGAGAGGAGTACAAGTAAGTGGTTCGGATTGTTCACTTAGATATTCCCACTCAGTCACTCCTGCTTTGGTTTAGTTGACTTGAAACACTTAAAAAAGAAAATTCTTCGTATCTGCTTAAATTTTGGTAAACAATTATTGTTGATAAACCATTTAAAAGCACTAAAGCCACATCGAGTTTTATAATAGTGTATATATATTCTGAAAGGGTGTTTTTATGATGGAAGTGTGGTTACTCATTTGTTGTTAAATTCTATTTATCAATTAAAATTAAAGATTTGTTTATTCAAAGTTCCCAATAAAATAATTTTATTGGCACTTACTCGAGGCTTCCGAATCCAATTGAGAAAGTGGATTTGTACGGTATTTGGCTCGTTCGATAAATATATTGCAGATGGCTCGTATACAGTCGGGGAAAAGCTTGCTATCTTTTCGATTTCGATCCAGTAGCATATTAGCGTTCAACGCGGAAAACAGCACAGCCGCGCTAAATATTTGCATATATTCTAAATATGAAAAAGCGTCTACTTAAAAGCTTTTCCTTCTCTTGCAATTCACAGGATGAAAATCGTCGTTTACTGGAACGACTTATGCAATACAAGTCGAAGGATGCCGACAAGTTGAACGAGGAAAACGAGAGCATAATAAGGTACGTCGATCGAAAAATAAAAGCATCTTAACCCTATTATCATGCAAAACATAACGTTTAATATTACTTATCTCTTCGATCATTAATATACATGTATATAAATGCATTTTCGTAACAAGATAGGTACAGCGGATACATATGAAATGGTTAATCGCGAAGCTTATCTAATGCTTATAAAAGAGTTTGATAAAAGTTCCATGTAAACTGTTAACAAATACATACAAAATATACGATTATTCCATGGATTAGGCAGCTTTGACTTCTTTTTAGCAACATCACACATAAAACAGGATAAACAGGAGTTTGCTATTAAATTTTTTAGAATGGTTAAAATTGCTTTTAAATAAAGAAAACTATGAATCTTAATAGCCATTATCCACCGAACAAAGTTAAGAGCAGATAATAAAACAATGGCGTTTTCTTGTCAAAGCAAATTTTTTGAAAGTTCCAGAATATAAGTCCTTTCCAAAAAGAGAATTTAATTAAACAGGAAAAAAAATAATTGTGGCATGTGTAGGCTATTATCTTAATACCCGATTAGAGATTACAGTGCCCATCCACCTGACCGCTGATCACCTAGTTGTGTTAATAAAAACCACTTTATTGCCCACCCACCCAACGTCATGCAAGCAAGTTAACCGAAAAATGCGGAGCACGGGAACTACCAATACGTAAAGGTTTACGGAAAACTACACAAAAACTGCATGTAATAAATATTTACCAATATATTATTATGTACTAACACCCTAACAAACGCCAAGGAGTAGAACGGACCATTTAGACGAATATTATCGATTGTGTCATTCATTCTGATTTGCTCCTTTTTATTTTTGGTTTAATATAAATGTATAACCGTTTTTGAACATATCTAGAAAAAGACTGCCGTCAATTTTCAGGAAACGTTCGGCCAAACTGAAACGTGACCTCGAAGACGCGGTCCGTGAGCCCGGCTCCTCGTCCAGCAATACCGCCTCCTCGCCCGGCGCCGCATCCTTGCAGCGCAACTCCAGTCCCGCCCAATTCGTTGGGGGTCTCATCGGCGACGAGGACTTCGACGAGGCAGCGATGAATGGCGCCATGGAGGCCATAGGTCTCGATGATAATGAATATATTAGCGCTCGTTTTACAGCAGGCGCCGAGATTGGCGAGAACTCCCGTGCTTCCATCGACACCCTGAAGGCCACGGGCTACATGGGCCAGGCCAATCCGACCAAGATCCTAATGAAATTCGAGGCACACGAGAACGAGTCGCACGCGGTGCGCTGGAGTCCCGTGGAGCGGATGGTGGCCACCGGTGGCGCTGATCGCAAAGTCAAACTTTGGGATATTGGCAAAAGTGAGTCCATAGTCGCACATTTGTTGTATTATTATTTAGAAAATATGTTAATCTATTCAAGATTAATAACAAATGTAAATGAATATAATGGAATTCATGTGTCATTTCAGACTCCACCGAACCACGTGCAATTTTAAGCGGGAGCAGTGCAGGGATTAATTCCGTAGACTTCGATTCAACAGGTGCCTATATATTGGGCACCTCCAACGACTACGGTGCCAGAGTATGGACAGTGATGGATAACCGATTAAGGGTAAGTAAAATGTTTGTTTATTTCTAAAATTAAATAATAAGGTATCAGAAACAATATTTGCCATAGGCCTGCTTTATTTAAACAAAAGCGAATCGCATATTAACATAGTATATATGAGGGAAAACACCCTTTCGGTTTCGTCGACTAGTCTAGACGCTATATATTCTTTTTATTATAATATAAGTGTGTGATTTGCATTCCGATTACAGGTTGAACTTTTGTACTTACTCACCCGCAAGTTTACGAGATTTTCTCAGAGATGAATCGTTAAATTAATTCTAAAAATTCATGGATTTCTTAATCTTAAACATATAGGGGTAACATTTTAATGGAAATATTTCGTTCGTGCTAAACAATTAGACTACGCTAGAATGGCATAACATTACTTTCCGTTTCTATTGTGGCTCTAAGCAGATTGAAAAACCAACTTCTTTGATGCCTTGATTTATAAAGAATTTTCAGCCCTCGTGATAATTCTTTTTTCGCCTTTGTTTACTCAAGTTGGTATGTACATACGCTCTCGTACATACATATATGCCCACATTCATACCAATGTCAATGTTTATAAATAAATTTTGCATGTTTGCCGCTTTCTAACTCGGAAAAAAGGCGAAAAGTAAACAAGTAAACATTACAGAGACGCTGATGGCAAACAAAAGTGTTTACTGATATAGTAAATAAGGCACTTTAGCCATGATATATGCCTGCTGGTAGAACGATCTTAAGAATGATTGGAGAAATGATTTTATGCATCTTAACAAGGTTTCCTAGAAGCCTTCTTAAAATGGTTAGTTTATAAGGGATCAGTCTGCTCTTACACTAAAGATTGGTTTATTTAGGGATATCTTCAGTTCTTATTATTTCATATTTTAAGACAGGAAGTATATGGACTTAAATTGAATGATGAAATGGTTGCTTGAACTCTTATTGTTAAACTAAAGAAAAGGTTAGAAAACTGTAGATTTAGGTTCTGCAAACCTTTAAGAAGCGTTTATTATTCCGCAGCCTTATCGAAAGAATCATTTTCAATTGGCGGTCATAAATAAAAGTCGTCTATGAAAGCCAAGAGGGGAAACTGGCCGATACATTGGCAGTTGGCCTGAATTGCAGTAGAATAATCTTTCTTACCCCAAGGTTCATCTCTCGCCTGGTCAGGCGAGATCCGCAACTTCATCCATTTATGCTGCACATCGTCAACATGCGAATAAACATAC